ATAACCTTCAAGCTTTATTCGTGTGTGAGTGAGTTCTGTTTATGAGCTGTGCAAATCATGGGTTTGTTAGAAATTAGTACTGAGATTTAAATGTTAATCACCAGACAGAAAAAAGATGCACATGAGAAACCTTTATTTCTCACTGACATTACATCAGACTGACATTTTCCTGTTTCAGGTCAGTTAGGATTACCAAATTATTTCTGTTTGCTAAACACCAGAATAATGAGAGAGAGAAGTCAGAAGTTTCCATCCATCTCCTTACTATTTGGTAGCGTTGCCTTTAAACTACGTGACTTGGGTCAAACGTTTTGGGTTTCCTTCCACAAGCTTCTCACAATAGTTTGATGAGTTCCTGCCCATTCCTCCTGACAGAACTGGTGGAACTGAGTCAGGTTTGTAAACTGCCTTTACAGCTCTTCCCATAAATGTTCTCCAGGACTGAGATCAGATCTTTATGATGGCCACTCCACAACGCTGACTCTGTTGTCCTGAAGCCTCTCTGTAAATAATGTGGCGCTATGCTGAGAGTCATTGTCCATCTGAAGACATATTTGCGCCCAAGCTTTAACTTCCTGGCTGATGTCTCGAGGTGTTGCTTCAATATTTCCACAACTCCAACTCAGATGTTGTCAATGAACCAATCAAAAGCTTCCAAAGCCATGACATCATCATCTGGGCTTTCCCAGACAGTCTGAAGGCAAATAGAAATAATGTTGGTAATCCTAACTGACCTGAAACAGAAAAAGTTTAGTCTGATTTAAAGTCCAACAACGAGAAAATAAAAGGTTTTACGTCTTTTTATACAGCGTATGTAAACTTCTGGTTCCAGCCACACATGAAGAACTTAAAATGAGTACAAGCTGCCACACCAAAGTGATGTACACGTTCATGCCTCAATAACTGCACTCCAATAATATAATACACATTATTCGGACATTCTATATTGTGTTTATTTTTCCTAATTGTTTTGTATTTTGATGTTAATACTTTGGCACTTTTACTGAGGAGGATTTGAATGACAGACTATAACTGTGTAGTTTCAGCACAGGCTCTAATTACTTCTTTCACCATAATCTACTGCTTCTGTCTCACACTTTAAGAGGTGTAAAGGTCACTGAAAGGAGCTTATGTGTAAATCAAACTATTGCAATCCAGCCTCTAGGGTCAGCTGGATGTAACAGATGGAAATGGTTTAGGCAAAGCAATTTATTGATCAGTAAATGAACATAACAGAACGGTGACAAAACAAGAGAAGATGGTGGACGTTGGTACAAATCAAAGAACCAAACGAAGGCTAACAGAGTGTCGAAGCCAGCAAATTAAACTAAACTAAACTCTTTAGCCAAGGGATCTCCAACTCCGGTCCTCGTGAGCTACTGTCCTGCTGGTTTCAGACGTGCCCATGCTGCAACACACCTGACTCACATTAATGGATCTCCAGCAGCTTGTTGTCAAGTTCTACACAAGTCTGTTTATGATCCATTAATTTGAATCAGGTGTGTTGCAGTATGGAAACATCTAAAACCTGCAGGACAGTAGCTCAGGAGGACCGGAGTTGGAGATCCTTGCTGTAGCCAAACTTTCAATCCACACATAACAAAAGAAACCAAAACAAACTAGTTCCTCAAAACACAAATCACCAGTAACTTCTTCATGAAGTTGTGCAGCTGCTAACGGGAGTCAGTCTTCACTATGATTCATGAAAACTCCCACACCGAGTTAGCAGCTGCTAATAGAAGTTCACATTAAATCCCAGCCAGCCCCAACTGAAAGGTTGCTGGTTGCTTTTATAGCCAGGTGTGGTGATTGCTGAGGTGGAGGAGTGGTGTTGGTCCAATCAGGTGTAACTGGAGGTGGGAAGAACAAGGCTGAGAGTAGGTGGGGAGCTCGGATGTTGGCAGGTGTGGTTCTGGATGGCACACACACCACGGGCCGTGACACAAACCCAAACTCTAACATGAACACCAGATGACAAGCTCTGTAACCAAGACACCCTGAAGAACTAGTTTAAGCTGCGATGTGCAAAACAACCACTTCTGACCATCACAAAGCCCCCGTTGGTGGAGAGCAGCGCAGCCTTTTCCCCACTAATTATCAGCTGTTAAATGCTAACATGTATTGATTGGCTGCTTGTTGTAACTTCTGAAGTCCAGCGATTCATTTCTGATTACTCGGTTCAAACAAACACACGACAACACGCGCCGAGAGACGAGATAAAGAGACCGTCAGAACTTTGCTCTTTCTCTCGCTGTGGGAGGGAATTCACAAAAGCCTGCAGGATGTCGATTTGACCCAGAAAGGCTGGCAGAGAGCAGCGCGACTGTTGACAGAGGACGAAGCCTCTAACCTTTCAGAAACGGAGGTGGACGCGCTGGTTTTTTAGGATGCAGATAGCAGCGAGCGTGGCGTCTCTGCTGGTCCTGGGCTCGGCCTGGACCCTCCAGGTGGCCGCCGTGCAGCCAGAGAGTCAGGCAAACTTTGATTTGGACCAGGTGGGTGGCTGAAATACAGCTTTTGTTATGCTTAGTATTTATCTTTTTGTTGTTGTTGTGGCATCACTCTCAAATTTTACTGAGGACATAATATAGTTTTGGCAGCTGCTCTCTAAACCTTTGCTGATGACCTTTTGTTGTTCGTTGGGGAACATTTCACACATTTTAAGCAATGTGAGGTTGTTGTTATGGCGCCCCATCATTTCACATGCAAGTGCTTTAAACTGCAGTAGATCTTAGGTTAGAAACACTCACATCAATTAAAAAGCATCATAAAGAATGTGGTGACATGTGAGAGGTCCACTAGGTTTTAATAGTTGTTGTTTTATTTGTATTTGTTGCATCCTTATATGTTGGGACTGGCTGCTACCTTTTAAATCTCAATGGGACTTCCTGGTTAAATAAGAAAATAAAACATCTGTGTTCCTTGCAGTTTATGGGAAGGTGGTACGAGCTGGCCGTGGTCTCTGACTGCCCTCACTACATGCAGCACAAGAGAGAAAACCCTGTGGTTGTCGCCCTGGAGCTGCAACACGTCGCCTCTGAGAGCAACTTCACAGCAACAGCCGCGACCTTCAGGTCAGAATCAACCTGCACGCAGCTGAACACGTGGTTTATTTAAAGTGCGTTACACCGAGTTTAACTTTTGTGTTTAGGAACGATTCCTGTAAGGAGACGTCCACAGTTTACAGTCTGACGGACACTCCAGGACGATTCTTTCACCATTTTGCGAGTACGTTCCTGTCTCAGCATCCTTTCTGTGTTTTTTTTTTCACACCACATTAAAAAGGTTGGAGGAATGTTGAGCTGTAAACTCCATGTTTGCAGGGTTTGCAGCTGATGTCGATTCCTTCGTGGTTCATACTGACTATGAGGAGTACGCTGTGATGCTTCAGCTGAGCACAGAGAAACCATCAGAAACTAAAACCACCAAGATCAAGCTTTACAGTAAGTGGTCACTCTGAAATCTGTTTAAACAACAGGGTCACTTTGCTTAAAAGCTAGAATATGTCTGAAAATGACTGGATCCATGGCGTGCATTGCAACAGGCCCAATACTGATAACCAGTGATCCACATGCTTGTTAGATTTCTGTCTGATTTGATCCCAGCTTTAACCAGGCGCTGCTCTCCAGTGACTGTCCTGCTTTTACATAAAGGGTTCAATCAGAGGAGCTGAAGGGAAAAGTTCAACATCATCTCTAGAAGCTTGACTCCAAAACAGGAGAGTAATTTGTCCTCCACAGACTGCAGGACCTTCATGATGGGGGACACCAGACACTCACCTGATATTACAGCTGATCAGTTAACATGTTGTCTCAACAATATGATGCCTGATAGAAACTTTTCAGTTTTTTGAATTTGTGATATTTTGACTTTGTTTGTCTGAGAGGCTGAATACATTCAGACTACACATCATAAACTGCACACAAAGTACACTGAACACAAATCTAAACACAGCATGAAATATTTTATCAAATTTTGTCCATTCTTTTCACAAGGGGATCAGTATTTGTTGTCCCAACATAATACAGCTCTACAACAGAATTTAAACAACAGTGTGTCTGCACTATATTGAAAATGATCATTTGCAGATGAGAAGTGGAGTCAAAGACCAGAAATTACAAGCCGGTAACGATTCGTGCACCTGCAGCAGAGAGTTATTGAGACTGATAGCGCTGGTTCATGAAATGTTGTCCCACTCCTCCTGAAGGTCTCGTTAAAGCTGATGGACATTTTAAGGGACAGCATCATGCTGTCAGACACATCCACATCCACAGCACCATGTGGCCGACCACCGTGCTGTCTGACACTGTTTCTGACGCGACTCATAGCGGAGCTGTGGACAGTTAAATGTCTGGTTACAGCCATAACCAACATGCAGTTTCCAGCATGCCAGCAGCCTGTTCTCTCTGCCTTTCTCTTGTCATCGATGAAATCATGTCACTTGAATAAAACGGCATTTTAAGGTGACATTTTTGTACTCGCTGTGTCCTGGTCACACCGTCTGATCACTGCCCTTTAAAGCCACAGCTGACGAGGGTTTGACTAAGTCAAGAATTAGTCACCAGTGGAACAGCTTGAAAGCTTTTTGTGCACACTACAGATTGAAATCATATTTAAATGATTAGATGACATTACATCCATATTAATTTGCAATAATAATGATTCTTTAAATACATGATAAATGAAGAAATAAAATCCTGTAGCTCCTACAACGCTGACTTTATGAAACATAATAGTTCATATATGTTAATTCTACCATTTTATCTCTGTGTCTTTACTGTATTCAACACAGGTGGAGCAGTTTATGTTCTAAAAATAAAACATTCTCCTCTCCTCCTCAGGTCGATCCACAGACATCAGTCCTGCTGCACTCAAACTCTTTCAATCACTGGTCAGACAACACGGGATGAGTAACGATGCTGTCATCAAGAATCACTCCAAAGGTACAAACACACATCGACTGAGGACTGTGATGCCTGATCCTGTCTGAAACGCTTTATATCTGCTGTAATATGATGGATGGAATTAAATTATTTTATGCTGTTCTTCTAACAGGGTGAGATTTTCATAATTATCAGGATTTATGATTTAGACAACAATGGCTGTTTAGTGATATAGTTTTGTGTTTTGCTTGTTTTTTGTTCTATATTGTTCATCTTCACTTCAGGACACTCTTAAAAAGTGGATTTTATATTCTCTGATGAGTTTTTCCTGATTAAATGAAAGTACTTTTGATATTCCAGTCAGTCTACACTAACAATAAGTATGAAAGTTCCAACTTTGAAACCTGAATTACATTTTTAATTTCCTTTTTGACACAAGGAGACAAACACTGTCTGCGTAAAAAACTGAAAACCTGCAGCGTTTATGTGTCTTTCTGTCTTCTCAGGTGAGTGTGTTCCAGGTGGACAGGCGACAGAGGCCAAAAATGTGACGTCCGCTGGTGTCTGACCCGGTGAGAAGAAAACCGACTCATTGTTCATCTTCACATTACATAAACGCATTTCTATTCTTTGTTTGGTTTAAAAAATATTCTCCACTCGTTACAGACACACTCAGGCTCTCACAGGCCACATATAGAAGGAACTGTTTTGTTTTTTGTTCACACTTGTGTCTTTATTTGATATTCAACAGTAGTGAAATGAATCCGTCCAGCCAGATGCTAACCAGTGACAATACAGGTCATGGTGGCACAACCTAATCGTAACATCAGATAAAATATAACGGGCATTTTCGCATCAAGTCTGTTTATTTCATATCCTTCCTCAAGTTCTAAAGCATGCATCTGTGTTGATGTGAATATCACACGACTACATATACTAAGTATATGGGACACATCATGCTTCAGTCCAATTCGATCACATGAATAAATGTTTGTTTACAGGTCAGAGATCATGTGAAAAAAACTGAAGAGGAGGACGGTTGCACAAACACCAGATTATTATAATGTCACACTTTATACCTTGCAGTTATTTCATGTAAAAGAAAAAAAAATAAAAGGATAAAACACCATCTTGTTAGTACTCACTTCCTATAGATACAGCACTGCATTCCTGTATTTTCATATACACAAAATTATTTGAATGTCAGACTGAAGTTATAGCAGCTGGTACATGTTTGTCTGAACCTCACAGAGATGACTTGATAAAACTCCAATTTTAATTTCTCTTAAAACCTCATTAGCCTCCTTATCTGTGACTGTTTGTGTTAATGTGATGCTGTATATCATTAATCACTGACAATAAATACAATAAGTAATAAAAACAAGACTTGTAAAGATAAAATAAAGAGTTGTGGCCCTTATTTATTCAATCCAATGGTTAGTATTCCAATTCCTAGTAATGTGCTTGTGGAGGAAGAGCGGTGCATGCATGTTAACGTGTTGAGCAGCTGGAGGTACAACACCTGATTGTGTAAACACATGTAGAGAGGCTATGAATCATACATCAGTTAAACCCAGTCCAGCAGACACTGTGACCTATTTTTCAGGGATATCATGTCCAGTCATAGAAGCACTCCTCACTGTGCCAGAACCTAGTTTCAGTTCCAACGTGATCCGCTGACATTGGTCTGCATGAGTGCAACGCAAACCTGAACTGCTAATAGCTAATCTGTGCAAAAAATGTAAATAAATACAGGCGTAAAAACAAGGTTCAAGTTGTAGCCCCATGTCCATGGTAACTACAGGCGTCCTCGAATTTACTCATACCCTCACAAAAAAGAAGGAAAAAAACAGCTGAAATAAGTTGAAATTGACAAAAGTAATAATGAATAAAAATTTTATAAAAATCATGACATTGGTTTTGAATTGTGGTTCAACAGAAATATAAAAAATAAATAAAAAATAAATAAAAAATAAAAAAAGAGTCTTTGAGCCAATCACTGCCATCAGGTGTTTTCTGTAACTCTCAGTCAGACTTCTGCACCTGTTGACAGGTATTTAGATTTTTTTTTTACATTATTCTTTTCAACCACAATTCAAAAGCAATGTCTTATTTCACTAAATTATAATTCTGCAAATTTTTATTTATTATAACTTTCTTCAGTTTCCAGTTATTTGAGTGACTATTTTGATTTTTTTCTTCTTCTTTAATGGAAGGGGATGAATACATTTGATGACAGCTGTATATACTTTCCCTTTATGTCCCAACCATGAAATGTGGATTGTGTCTGTAAAATCTGCTTAGATAAACCACATAAAGTCTCACATCATCAGTTAAAAATCTGTCAGCAATGTAGCAACGGTGTTCATGTCTTTGATGCACAGAACTCTATGTATATGTGACACACACACACACACACGTATCAGGATGAACCAGCACATAGTTGTGACTCGTTACGCTCTCAAATCATGACACGTATTGATTAGTCGCTGCAGCTCTGAAGTCCAACGTTTAAGTGGTCAGCTGCCCAAGCAAGTCAAAATAGAGCGAGGGATCCAGAAAAGCAGAACTTTGCTCCTTTGCTTGTTTGTTTTTGACTTGGCGGTGGGACTGAGTACATGCAGACGCCACACAGCCAACAGTTCAACGCCCTGAAGCCTCTTCACGAGCTGAGAGGGAAGAACAATTCAGCATCGCAGCCTTCAGGTACACTGACAGAGACACGCTGACAGGATGCAGAACGCAGTGGTTCTGGTTTCTCTGCTGCTCCTGGGATGGACCTGGACCCTGCAGGGGCTCCCGGTGCTCCCAGAACCTCTTTACCCCACACAGGAGAACTTTGATGTCACCCGGGTGAGTGGATGAGCTGTTTCTCTCCTCTGTAGTGTGCAATGTGTTGTTTTCAATTTATACATTCAGTAAGAAATGCTTCTGTGCTTATGATGTGTTCTCTTTTCTACCCTTTTCCTTCTGTTGTTAAATTAATATTTAATATTCTAATAAAATAATTCCCCCCCTTTTTTTTCATGTTTTATCCTGTGGACAAAGTAAAAATTCTGTTTTTTTATATGGATATGTGGATGTTGCATGGTGTTAAAGTCTGTAAAGTACACTAAATATGACATTATCAAGGGACATTTTAAGTCCTGCACAAAATGGTAAGATCCTTTTTTTGTTTTTTTAGATATTATTTGAATTCAAAGAGTTTCTAGGATGCCCCTTAATTATCAATAAGATGAGTTATTAAAACAAAATCAGCTTCACAATGATTGAAAGTCTGCAATATATTTATTAATGGCTCTAAATCCATCATAAGGCAGTTTTTTAACTCTACATGGTCCTGTTCTGTAGCACAGAACCACATGTGTGCCTTACATGTTCAACATTTCTTTTTGTAATACCTTTATTTCTGTCGTACTATAAATGTGCAGTTTAATGTCCTGTTTTATGTGTTTTTGTCTGATACACTGAACCAACAGATTGTAGTTCTACTGTAGGTTTTATGCACGTTAGTAAAACGTTTATTCTCTTCCTGACAGTTTTTGGGAACATGGCACGACCTTGTTGTGGCGACTACGTGCACTTACATGCAGCGCAACAGAGGAGATGCAGCCATCGGAAAGCTGGTTGTGCAGAGAGGTGCCACCGAAGGCAAACTCAAGACCACGAAGACGGGGCTCAGGTTCGTCTGAAACTGGACAAAAATGAAGATTTTTGTTTTTGATAAAAGTTCTCTTTCATGTCCTAGAATGTGTCTTTAAAGTTGTAGCTCAACATACTGCGCAGATTTTTTATTCTGCCGTCAGATAAACAGACCTGGATCGTCCAAACAGTGTCTGTAGCTTTAAATACAGCTGAGCTGCTGCCTCTCTGGAAAAAGACTCATGAAGTGTGTTCACTGAGTGGCACAGAAGCAATATGGCGACTTTATTACTCACTAGGTTAGAAGAAAGCAGGAAAAAAACATAAATAACCACATTTCTATTCATTATAATAATCATAATCATAAATCCTGACAGTGTTTTAGTCCATTTTAAGCCACTTCATGCACTGAGTATATATAAATATTCTGATTATTTATTGTTAGTAGATTCAGATTATTAATAAAAATATAAGACAGTAATAAACTATGCCAGTTTGTCATATATGAAGCTACTCAGCAGGAAAATATTTGAAATTAGAGCCACCGTGAGCAGCTGCAACACTAAAGTGATAAACACAATAATCAAATTAAATCAAATCAAGTTTATTGTCATGTTGCTGTACATGCACAGTAGTACAGGCAAGATGAGAGAGCGTCTCTTCAGGATCCAGCAACTTAAAGCAATTTAAATAATGCATCAATAAGTATAATTTTAAAATGACTCTGAAGTGATTCGCTCAGCATAGTAGTACTTTCACTGTCAGTACTTGAAGTGTGTTATGATGCCGACTATGTCCTATAGATACTTGATATATTCTGCACATACAGACATTAAAATCTCATTTGTTCCACGACTGTTCTGTTGTTTGTGCAGAGGTGGTACATGTAAGGAGATGACCGGGGACTACGAGCTGACAGACACACCAGGACGATTCTTCTACCACATCGAGAGTACGTCGTTCTCCGTCCGTTTGTGTGATTTCCTTCAATCTTAACACACATCCTGACTCTTCCTGTGTTCCTGCAGAGTACAATGCAGACGTGGACGCCTACGTGGTTCACACAAACTACAACGAGTACGCCATCGTGATAATGAGCAAGAAGAAGTCAACGGGCACCAGCACCTCGCTCAAGCTTTACAGTGAGTGGACAGTTAGTGGAGATGCATGCAGGAATTTTAGCTTTGAAAAACCCACAGTTTTGTTCCATATATCCTCCTAAGACCTGGCGTCCACATGAGTGGACATCACATTTTGGGTTATATTACCACAATATTTAATTTTTAAAATTTGTTTTTATTT